ACATTCAAACTGTCTACATGTTTACTTGCACATTGTCTACTGTTTGTATATTGTCTTGATGCACTGTTTGCACTTTGTTTTGTTTTTTACACTTGTTTTACAAACAAGAGACTTTCTGTAAGTAAGAATTCCATTGTACCAGTACCGGTTACATATGGCAATAAAGTTAAAGTTCAAGTTCAAGTTAGATAGATCACTTTATTGACCATGTACAATTTCTTGTATCAGGAATTTGTCTTTTCACATACCCCAACTTGCTCTCCATGAGACACACAAACAGGGAGAGAGGCTTGGGGGCAGAGCATAGGGTCTATGGGGTATTTGGCACCCCTGGAGCAGCTGGGGTTAAAGTCCTTGCTCAGGGGCCCAATGGAGTAAGATTTATCTGCCGGCCACGGGATACAAAACGGCAACCTTCCAGCCACAGGTGCAGATCCTTAGCCACAGAGCCTCCACACCACCTGCCTTTTTAAGAGCATGAGGAAGCTAGAGCATGAGCTCTACCTATAGTTAGAGCCATATCGTTTAGAATAGCTATGGTCTGAACCATTACACAGGCTTATATATAGTTACATATTGGATGAACATCCCTTCTTCCTTATCCGCATGTCTTCACAGTGTCAGGACAAGCCTTGCATGAGAGCTTTATAGAGGCCCAAAGCTTCTCTGAGGCTCAGTTCACAATTTGTGCTTATGTGTTCTCTGCGTTACTCCTCTCAACATTCCTCTCAAGCTACATTGCATCTTCCTGAAGATTACTGCTTTCAGTAGCTACTGTATAAAGTTATGTATTTCATGTACGTTTCTATTACTCACTCTAACCCCAGTGTCCTGGTCAAATTTCCCATAGCCTTTACCAATCATGGCCTCCCAATAAACCCTAATAATCTGTTCTCCTCCCTTGATAGGTGGTGTATGGTGAGTGCTGTGACACACTATGGCTTCTGTTGCATCATCCAGGTAGATGCTGCACTTTAGTGGTGCTGATGGAGGGGAGTCCCTATTACCTGTAAAGCACTTTGAGAGGAGTTTCCAGAAAAGTGCTACAGTATATAAATGTAAGAATTTTTATTATTATTGTGTTGACCATACAATAATATTAGCAGCTTAGTCCTCTGTGTAAAGCTCCAGGAATGCAAAAAGACACATAAGAAACAGGTTCTGGGTCTTTAAAACAACCTAGTGCCTTAAAACTCCATGCTCTTACTTTTAATGATAAATGGCAGCCACCGGAATTTATATATAGACACAGAAACCATTACATCTGTAAGATGATCCTAGCTGCAGGACATGATCAGTCATACAAACAATGACAAACCAATGAGGAACCTACTGAGTGGAGTAGGAAACAATCAATCACCAGCCTTGATTACTGCAATTGAAAAGTTTTAAAAGGGCATCACATTACTCTCTTTCTCTGCTATATCATTTAATAATTATCTTCATAGTTTGCTATGCATCTTTTGGGATTGTGTTAATACATTTTATATTTGTATAATTTTAATCTATGTGCAGCATACTGCTTGTTATCATGTCCAATTAATTCCAAATAGCCATAACACACTCTTGCAATTTGCTATTACAATTTGTAATTAAATCAATGCATTATACCATTACAATAGTAAATAAAGTACTGTGTAAGACCTTTGACAATAAAGGTTTTCAAATCATTTCAAATTCTAAACCACCCTGACAGCTAAAGCAATACTAAAAACAAATTTCTACCAAAACATTTATAGCTTTTTCATTCTTCCCTAAATTAATTATATAGTCTGCATATAAATAAAACATACTAATAAGGTGTTTATTAGTACAACAAATGTGTTTATTGCTCAATTATAACACCCCACTATTTGTAAATCTTAGCAGTTGTAGGAGCTCAAGTGGAATTAGGCACAACCTTTCCTTGTTTACAACACTGTTGTAAATGAAGGTTTACAACCAGAAGGTTTATTTTAAACCTAAAGGTCCTGACTTTATTTTAATGATAAAACAAAATGATAAAATCAATTATATTTGAAAGGGTGGCTGCTACTAGCCCCCAACCTTCTACCACCTTCTGTACTGTGCTTCTGAAACAACTTTATAGACATGTAGCAACTGTAAGACAAAAATGTACATTCCATATTTCAAGCACTGGTGACATACTGTATGTACACACATGTACTGCATATTTACAAAACAAGTCACAACTGCCACTAAGTTTATTTGTATTTTATCTGGGGTTTTTCTCTTCGTCTCATGCACTTGTAGCGGCAATGCTTGTTAATAAGACAGAATTAAGTGTTGCTGTGCTTTCCCAAATGAGGCCTCATCTCTC